GGCCTCACAACAATTACTACAACTAATAAATAGTGAACCCAATGGATTGACAGCCCCACCACCAGAAACATATATGATTTTAGATAGCATTATAGCTAAGATATTAGGAATTGATATGACAACCTTTCACAAGGAAAGAATTTTAACTCAGCATATCACATATCTCTGGCAACAAGGTAAAGGGATAAAAGAAAATCTTTTACAACCCTATATCGAAGACAAGTTCTTGGAAATAATCAAAAATCTGGTAAACCTTACAAAACTAATGCAACAATCAATGGAGATTATTGAACAAGTAGATAATAAATCAATAGTAGATAATGAAGTAATAATGACATGTGCACAGGAGACAAAAGAGCTTGAATTACAGGAACTCCAAGAAACAGTCAAATGACAATGTATTAATAAACACAGCTCTTATACTACTAGGAATAAAGACATGGCACCATCAATAAATCTGTATTTCATAAAAAAGAAAGGAACCTATAGATTAGGAGCAATGACAGCCAATATTCCAGGAGAAACAATAGACAAAACCAAAGCATACTTGAGGACCTTCTATTTCAGATCTCCCATTATTTTTCAGAAAGCTATGTCTATTGTTTCACTAATTTCTAATTGGTTCTCTATTGCTTTTTGTTGTAGGGTGTTCTCTTCTTTTGTTCTTTCCTCGTTCTATTCTGTTGTTACTTTTGCATCTAATTTGTCTCAGGTTTCTAAAGCTATGATAATTTGGCAAAGTAGAAGTAGAGTCTGTTGATTCATTATCTGATTGTGTATCCAATGTTGATTCATTATCTACTTCTATACTTCTGGACCTAAATATTGTATTTCTATTTTCATTTTTAGGATTTTGTCTTTCTGTTTTAGAAGCATACTTGATACTCCAAGAGAGGCGATATCCCTGCAAGAAGATATATTGTTTACATGCCTTATCTCTTTCTTCTTTCGTTTTGAAGTAGACTACTGTGAAGTTATGCTTCTTGAGTATATAGGGATTTTAGGATATATAGTATGCCTTAGCTTGAGTACTATTTAATGCTCTGGCTATTAGTCTAGTGTAGGTTTTGTCAATACCCAAAAGTCTTGCTAAGCTATTATTTCTCTCAATTAAAATCTAGTTGATTTCATTGTCGCTGAGCTCAAATTTAGAGAATATAGCTCTAGACATTTCTGTACTGATTGGGGTCATCCAGATTTTTTCAGGATTTAAGCTAAGATATTTGTGCCATTTGACATAAGCCTTTACCCATGGTTTTGTGTTTATCTTGTAGATGTGAACATTTTGAATTTCTCCATATCTCTTTAGATGTGCCTTTATAAGGTTCTTATTGACTTTTGATCCATATCTGTTAGACATATATATCAAACCTCAGTATTTTCTTTGGTTTTGAATTTTTGAAAGACTTTTTTATCTAAGTTTCTTTCTATTTTCTGTTTCTTGGAAATAGTCTGGGATGTTATGTGTTGAATCGTAAAGTTATCTTCTTTTGGTTAACTTCTTCTATACATCTTGTAACATTTTCTTCTTCTTGTATCCAAAAGACTATTTACTTATTTCCGTTAATAAATTTATTTTTCAACAGGCTTCATTTTTTTTGTGGCAGTTTAAAAATGTTGCCCAAGTATACTTTGGTTTCGTCTATTGTTTCTCCTAGAATATTGGCTGCCATTGCTTTTAATCTATAGTTTTCTTTCTTTTTTATGAAGTACGAATTTATTGATGGTGCCATATCTCTATTCCTAGTAGTATAAGAGCCGTGTTCACTAATATATTGTCATTTGACTATTTCTTGGAGTTCCTGTAATTCAAGCTCTTCTGTCTCCTATGTATATGTCATTGTTACTTCATTATCTACTATTGATTTATTATCTACTTGTTTGATAATCTCCATTGGTTGTTGTATTGATTTTGTAAGGTTTACAGGATTTTTGATTATTTCCAAGAACTTGTCTTTGATATAAAGTTGTAAAAGATCTTCTTTTATCCCTTTGCCTTGTTGCCAAAGATATATGATATGCTGAGTTAAAATTCTTTCCTTGTGAAAGGTTGTCACATCAACTCCTAATATTTTAGCTATAATGCTATCTAAAATCATATATGTTTCTGGTGATGGGGCTATCATTTCATTGGGTTCACTATTTCTTAGTTGTAATAATTGTTGTAAGGCCCATAGGATGGAGTATTCGTCATATTTTCTTGAGAGGTTAACTAGAGTATTTACTATATCCTCTTCTCTCTTATTGATTATTTGTAATATACATTGTGCTTTGTTCATATTTATTGACTCAGATTTATTGATAAGTCACATGAATGCTAGTTTATATTTATTAATAATCTATTTTTAGGTCGTGGATAAATCTTTTTGAGCTTGTTGTTGTTTATGTATTTTGATTAAGTAATACGGAAAAACCTTGTTTGTTGTTTTGATGTATTTGTTTGTTTATATTAATAATCCTATCCTACTTTGACAATTGTTATTGTACTTGTATGGAGTGTCGATCAACTTGTTTGGATAACAAGTTGTACGTGTACATGTGTATTTTGCTTATCAGTTTTACATGTATACTTGTTTTGCTTGTCTGGCTTTTATGTATTTGTATTTGTATAATCAGATTAGTGATAGATATGTTATTTATGTGTGTATGTACGTTTAGACTGTCTTGTCTTTAGGGAGCTTTGATATTCTTCTGGATCTTTAAGTAATTGGAGCAACTTGATTTATTGAGTGAGCTTAGTTGCTTTTTGGATTTCTTACAATATCAAGAAAGGTATTAACCTGTACTGGCCTGGCTATGAGCTATGTGAAATTGATATTGGCTTCCTTTTTCTGATTGTGAATCAATTTATAAATCTCTTTTCTTTCTCCTAAAATTTTAAGAAAAAGAAGTAATAAAAAGTTAGTAAAGCAGTGTATACCCCTTTCCTTGATAGTTCTAGGTGACTTTATATATATATGTTGAAGATACTTGGTAGCTTGGTTTAAAGGATATATTGTTTTTTCTTATATGTTTGAACTGGTTTACTTTTTTCAAGAAAATTATCAAAAAGGAAATTTTGAAAAAAATGAGGATCAGTGGAAAGAGTTTTTTTTTTCCATATAAATAAATATAATAAAAATACATGAAATAATATACATATAATATTGGTGGTTCTCCTGGAAGATCATATACATACAGTATAATTAATAAAAAGAAAAATAAAATAAAGAACATTATGATAAAGACAATTATAATGAAACACAACTATTACTATGAATCTATTGGTGTTTGGCTATATGCTATTAATAATTCGGATCTCGCGTCGCCTCGGAGCTTCGGGATCAGCAGTCAGGTCATGTGATCTGAAATATCATGTGTTTTAGCAAATCATTAATGTTTCATGGCTGGAGGTCTAAATCCTTGATTATCTTGAAATCCTATTTGACAATATCTTTTTGGCCTTTAAGAAAAGATGTTTATCTCATCAAAATACCTATAATTTTCTAATCCCGTTTTAGTAGTTGTCATTTGATTTTTAGGTGTAAAGTTATGTTTCTATTGGGTGACTGAGATAAACTTGTTATAAACCTAGTTAATCAACATATCCATAGAAGCATTCAATCAATCACAATCCCCTATCACTTATTAGAAATTTTATTTAGTACTAGTCCAGTCTTGGTAGGTTAGTTCCCCTTACAGAGTGGTAACAAGCCATGAGATAGGTTAACCTCTTATCGAGCTTTATTTAATAAACAAAATTAGCTATAACATAGACATATATAATTTTCTACTAAATTCAAATAAAGCAAAGCTGAGCCAGCAATTAAAAAAAAAAAAAAAGAATTAGAAAAGCTTAATAAGTGAATCTCTAAACTAATAAAACAGATTTCTAAAACTAATTAAAACATTCAAGTTTTTATATTAATCTTATCAAAAGTAATTTTATTGTTGAAATGGCAAACCTAAAATCTATAAAAAATAAATAAGAAAAAAAGCAAGAAGATAAATAATAAATATATATATATAAATTTGCAATTACTATAAGTCCATAAAAAAATTTAGGATATGAGATATAAAAAAACAATCAAATCAAATCAAATATAATGATCTACAAAAAAAAAAAATAAAACAAAAAGACTCAATATCTTTCAGATCAAAAAACTATATATTTAATAAGAAAAGAATCATTACTGAAGAAAGAAAACCTAAAAAATAAAAGTTTCAAAAAGATCTTAACAAAAAAATAAAATATAAAATGAAGTAGTTAGGTTTTAAGTCTTATTAAAATCTTAAAAAATAATCTACAATAATAATCTACAGATAATAAAGTTAGAATTTAAAAGAATTTTTATCTAAACTATTAATAAAACAATAAATTACTTACAAAAATATACTTGAAGTTTTAGAAAATCTAAAATAAAATAAGTAAGTTAGATAGAGATTTAGCTTTAGTAAAATATTTTATAATATATTTTTTTTCTCTATCAAGCTAAGTATACAGTATATGCTTTATTAAACATATGTATACTTTACATTGAAGAATGTATCACTAAAGTTAAGCCTCTGCCTAACTTACTCATCTCTATTTTAAAAAAATTATTAAAACTCTAAGTGCAACTATAGGAGTGATTTATTGTTCTGTTAGCAGTTTAGGCAAAGACTCTTCCAACTATTAACTTCATTGCCTATAGGGCACTATTGTAGATCACTCTATGAACTTAAAACCCAACCATTTCAATCAGAATAATCACGGATCCCACTATGTCTGGCTAAAGATTTGTATGGATCTCTTCCCATTCTTTCATCAGATCATCTAGCCATGCAGTACTTAAACCACTCTTTAGTATACTGCGATGTAATAACTCTTCTCCGATTAGCATATCCCGATCTGTTAAAAATTTACGATATTTTCTAGGATCTTTTCTTTCTATTGCACCACGATAGAAGCGTATATCTCTTTCTAAGTCATCACGAAAGCATCCCATAGTCCATCTATCTTTCTCAGCCTTAGTAATGACCGAAAATTTTTCGGGATCAAGACCATTTTCAACAGCATATTGATAAAGGCATTCCATCTTATTTGGATTAGTCATAGGAATCGGTTGACGAGATGACGTAGATGAATTCTTTGAAGAATTGCAAGAGGTAGGCATATGTGCGTGACAATTTGTGGCAATTCATATCAGTTAACTTGGAAAAATATTTTGAATTTGAATATCCTTTAGACTTGAAATAGCTATTCCTTCGTATAACACATAGACTTTTTTTACTCTGGAAGTTATTTTACGCAAGTTCACATCGGTAGTATCAGGAAGGAGTGACTTGATTTCATTTAACCTCACTGACACGATTTTCGTATGCTTTATAATAACAATACCAACACAAACTTTCTTTTTGTCGAACCTTCATTGCTACCCTAAATAGATCAACTATATTTTGTGATGTGACCTTACTAGATCCCGTTAAAATTGTTTCTAAAGAGAATTCAGGAATCTGAATATCAAATACTTTACTAGACTTATCATTATTCTCTTTAGTGCAAATAAATAGCTCGTGCCTTAAACCTCGCTCTACTTTTTGATTATAAGGAATTTTCTGATTGGATAATAGATTAGTAGATGATTTAGGCTCCGAATAAGAAAGTTTCACTTCAGGATTAGAATTTTCATTATGAGAAGGTAATGGAGGGGAAATCAGTTCTTCTGGAGAAGTGTCTTGTCTTCCTGAAGACACCTCTTGATCTTGAAGTTTCTTTTCTTTAATAATCTGAATAATCTCTTCACCTACCCTTTCCTTACGCTTTGTATCCAGGAATCCATCGATCTCCTCATCTTCCAATGATTTATGAGTCTTTGACTTCTGACATACGCCAGAATTTGAAGCGATGTCAGATATATCAGATACTGGAGTATTCTCATTTTGTGAAATTATCTGTTTAGGTATATTATCGGAATTTGATCTACAAGAAGCATTGACTGTGTCACTGATATTAGCCGAAGATTGTTCTTTTGGGACGAATGTATTTACCTGTTTGGTTTCACTTCGAGAAATAATAAAGTTACTCTTTTCTTTAGATACGATAGTATCCCCACTCCGTGAGTTATTTTGTGATACTATTTGTTCCAATTTCATAACTCTGGATCTCAGCTCAATGTTTTCTTTTGCGGATCGTTCTAATTCCACAATTCTAACTTCAAGCTCATTTTTTTCTTTCGCGATCTGCTCCAATTCCGCTATTCTAGTCATAAGCCTGGCATTCTCTTGTTTTAACAAATCTAGTTCGGATTTGTGTTTCCCATTGTTAAGTTTGAATAAATGTATGTGTGACAAATTGTCACGCCGATCACTTTTGCCAAGAAAAAAATTAACATAATTGATATATTTTCGAAAATCTTTATTTAACCCGTGATGATCAAGCCTCAAAGACGCGCCCAAAGGCATGATATATTTACATCAGAGAATCGATACAACTCATGATTAAAATTTATTATATAACTGCGAGATAATAATTCTAGACTATACACATAACATTTTTACTTTAGTGTACTATGTACTATGTGTCTTGACACTAGCTCCGCTATTCAGAATCGGATAACGGTTCTTCAGCCTTCAATCCTCGTCGGGCGCGCGTCAAATCTATTAAAAAATAAAATGTTAGCATTACTTGCTTCACACGGATTAACAACAAGGCCAATTACTTACCAATATTTCCTCGCCTCTTATCACAAGATCTTTCTGGAATCTCAGTTTGACTTTTTTTCGGTTGGGAGAGTGTAATTCGGTTATTCAGATCTCGTGCGTTATTGAGATCTTGCCGAGGAATCGAAGAAACAACTGATCCACGTGAATCCCTCTAAATTCCTACTTCCAGATCATCATAAATAGAAGAAAAATCGCGCAGATGATGGAAGAATGTACTATGGACAAAATATACGACGCTGTGACGGATCCCTCTCGTGATCGGAAGATTACCGCGTAACAGGAGACGTGATGAAAATGTAACAACGTGATTGGGTTTAAATGGTATAATTACTTCAAGTTCCGGAAAACACAATTCACCACCTTCAAAATCACCCAATGCGACCAAGCAACACAAAGAATTCGGATCATCATGTTCGTCCCAGTGAAAATCGATTCTTGTGTTGAAATTGATCGCGATCATCGGAATGGTCTTGCTTGCTCAGGTGGTTGTCCGTACCAGTGATAATTCTATGAGGCCTTAATCTGAATTTAAAAATAAATAACATATATCGAAATGGAGATTTGGTTACCTATAGCAGGCTCGAATTACTTTATTTCTAATATTGGACGCATCAAAAATAGAAATGGCAGGATTTCAGAAGGAAGTATTTTGAAAGGAAATGGTTATATACGAGCAAATATTAATATCAATGGACTTAGTACAAAACCTTATATTCATAGACTTGTTGCAGAAGCATTTATTTCCAATCCAGAAAATAAGCCTTATATTAACCACAAAAATGGTTATAGAGATGACAATCGAGCAGATAATTTGGAATGGGTAACTCCTAAAGAGAATGCTGAACGTAAGGTATTCCCAAACCGTGGTCGTGGCAGATCCAGAAAAATTGTTCAGAAAACTTTGAATGGAAACGTTGTTCAAATTTGGGATTCAATAACTCTTGCAGGTTATGCACTTAATATTTCGAGAAACCATATTTCGGCATGTTGTAGTAGAAAGCGAAATATCACTGGTGGTTGGCGTTGGATGTATTATGAAGATTATATAGAACAAGGCCCTAATGAAGAATGGAGAGAAATAGAGGTTAATTTACGAAAATTTAAAGTTTCATCTCTCGGAAGAATTCAGTTACGCAATGGTTTAATCTCTCGAGGATCATCGCACTCAGGGTACCTCCGAGTTGAGAAATATTATATTCATCGGTTTGTAGCATTAGCATTTTGTCTAAAAGAACAAGGAAAAGATTATGTAAACCATTTGGACGGACGTCCCACTAATAATAAAGCTTCGAATCCTAAATGGTGTACCCCGAAAGAAAACTCTCAGCACGCTGTTCACCTCGGACTTTGGGGTCATTGTCATCGACGTGCCGTCAAACAGGTTTTTGACGATGGTTCTACTCAAGAATTTCAATCCATATCTGAAGCACAACGCATAACTGGAATTGATGGGTCATATATTGGAAAAGTTTGCAAAGGACGTAAAGCTCGTGCTGGTGGATACCATTGAGAGTATGTAATACAACAAGTATTGAGATATATTCATATGCTTTTCCAGGTTAATTACATTAAAAAGATCTTTTTACTTTATCTGATTAGCAATGTGACGAAGTTCTTCTGGAATCTGACCACATATCTGCATCACCTTTATATCTAAAATATATGGATTTATCTCTTCTAGTGGTTTGGATTGATGATGTAAATGTAAATCTGATTAAAATTTTTTCGTTCAATTTTTTTTCACTTGCACAAAGAGGATAAAGGAACCAACCAGTGAAACTCGACATATTTTGTAGCAATGCTCACGGTCTAATATCAAATTTGGAATTATGTAGGGATGATTACATAATAGAAATCCAGTCAATTGATATTATCTGCTTTTCCTATAAAACTACGAGAATTATTAATAAAGATCGACCTCTTTGGCTAGACTTCTTCCATAATAAAAATCGAGAACGCAAAAATAACAGGTTGCATGAAAATAATTATTTTTAACGCAAAATGAAGCAAATTCTTTATTATAATATATTGAACCAATAAAACTGTTACCCAGCACGACTAAATAACCCATCAAATTATTACGAAAGTTGTTCGTCTTCCTCCTTTTCCTCTTCTTCTTCGTCTTCGTCTTCCTTCTCTTCTTCGTCTTCTTCTCCCCGCAAAAGTGATTCACGAATTTTGATTAATGCAGTCAAAACTGAACGTCTTCCGACCGGTTTCGCCAAATCTAGACCTGTCTTTGGATCATTCTCCCCCGGCCATCTTAAAATTGTAATTGACTGCTTTCGTGGTAAGCCCCTCTGAAGTTCTTTCCAATATGCTACAGGAATCTCAGCCTTGTAGAATGTAACATACGAGAAGATGATACGAACAGCTAATATGGTCTGATCCGTAATTGCACGAGAGAGACGCACATTTTCATATCCGCAGGCAAGTATCTCGGCAAGCATTTGCGCTTCCCCAAAATGAGGTGGCGAAACGTTGTTCAAATGCTTATCCTGTTAAGAAAAAGGTTTTGAATCATCAAAAAACGTGGGTTTTTCAACAATCAAAACATACAGACCCCTACGACAATCATAGTAATTCCTTCCATATCCACTACAAATTCAGGTTTTGCCGACACGTTTTTATTACTAACGGGTAGCCTGTAGCATTCTTCGTGTCTAGGTTTAGAAATTAAGAAATTATTAGAGTACAAAATAAACAGAACTTTTTATTATAATTCACCTAATCGCAAATGGCCAATTGTCGAAGTCAATAACACGATTTAACAGATGAGCTACTAATGAGTTAGTCTTAGATTCGTCTGTGCCTATAGTGAGATCTGCATTCGCGACGACTCTGTGCAGTTTGTTAATAAACGTTTTGACGTGTCCGTTCGTAATTCCGCTAATTTTACCAACAGATAAATGTTCTTTTCTAAGTATACGGCGTTTGAGATTTGGGAGAACGTATGCATCTGGAAAGTTGGTGGCTAAACAATATTCAAATTATTATGAGTATATGTCGCTAAGATTATTGGCACAACGTAAATCTTACCTCTAACATCAGGTATGACTTCGTTCTCGTTGGAAGCCGATTTGAAGGTCGCGTTTAGCGCCTCCATATCTTCTTCTGTGAATTTAGATGCCGAAGAAGGGAGATCCTTTAAGCCATAGCTTGAACGGGCACTGGAGCTGGAGCCGGAACTAATTCTAAGGATACTAGTGGCTCCCACAAGCGACTCTTGCCTCGCAATCCGAATTGACTTCCGTTTAGGTGCAAGAGAGCTCACATCGGTTTCGACCTTTTTTCGTTTTGACATACAGTATGTATCACGAGGTGATAATCAATCAACCGGTCATTTAGGTCTACTTATCTTAGATGGCGGTCCAAGATATATCGACACAATCTCTCTACATAAATTTTCACGTTTATATTTACTGCAATGTGGGCACCACGTATTTTTATTTTTTACAACAGAGATAATTTGTGTGATATATGCGAATGCATTTCCTTATCCGAGTGCGTTAAGAGAACATAGAAACTCGCATACGGGTGAGAGGTGTAAGTTCGAGTTTTAATTATCATTAAATAAGCATTAATTCTTCAGCGTACAAGTGCCGGTATTGTGAAAGAGCTTTCGCGGCAAACGGAAATAGGCATTGCCATGAAAATCGCTGCCTGCTTCGTCCCCATATTAGTTGAGGAATCGATATGAAGAATTGAATCGACAGCATTGCAATATATCGATTGTATTTTTTGTGAGTAATTACAGTATCTTGTCGATTATTTAAGTATTTTGAAGACCTCGTAAATAAAAATTAAGCAGATAATCAAAAATTTTATATACCGTTTTGATTTATTTTAGTATTTAAGTAAAAAAATTTTTTACTTTTTGACACATACACACCAATGGGATGTAAAAACGACCTTACAGATGGTGAATGCCATACAGTAGAAATGCTAAAAAAAGAAGGCATGTCTGCTGCTAAAATTATGTGAATTATTGGAAGGTTTGACACTGCAATTAAACACTGCTTCAAATAGTTAAAATTAACCAGTAATTCTGACTATTTGGGGAGAAAGAATAGTAGCAGAAAATTAGTGATAGACAATTGCTTCGAATGATTTATTTTGCAAAAGATTAAGTTAAATTCAGAATTGAGAAGAATGTTAAAATACATATTAAATTTTATTTCTTACTATACTTTAGCTAGAATTTTTAAAAAAATAATGTTCATTTCTATATTGCACTTAAAAACTATTTATTGTATTAGTGAAAAAAATCAAATTAAAGGATTAAATTAAACAAAAATTTATAAAAATTGAACAAAAGAGAATTGGAGGAATGTTCTTTGAACTAATAAGTCCTCCATTAAAACAGACCTTATGGAAAAATCTATATTTGATGTCACAAATATAAACTTTACAATCCAAATTGCATATAAACAACTATAAAAAGTGAATAACAATCAATTTTTTTTTAAAATTACTGATCAGCCTTGCTTTATTTGAATTTAGTAAAGAGTTACATATGTTTATATTATAATTACTTTTGTTTACTAGATAAAGCTCGATAAGGAAAACCTACCTCATGGTTTGTTGCCACTCATTAAGGGGAACTAACCTGCCAAGGCTAGGCTAGTGCTATACAAAATTTTTAGTAAATAGTAAGAAGTTATAATTGATTGAATACTATTGTAAATATGCTTGTTGACTATACTAATAAATTGTTTTTTTATATTGACCTGTGGATCTATAGCACAGTGGTAATGTTCCCAGGTTGCAATCACAAGGTCTAGAGTTTAATACCACCTAAGGGCCAAGTAAAAAATACTACATACAATGAAGCAATTCTATTGGATAACAAGTTACTACTTGTCATTGGACGCAGTCCTAGCTATCTTACTGATACATGAAATGGAAGGATCTGTTATAATATGGTATCACTATAGTTGATCTTTATCAGATCAGGCCAATCTATGGGTGTTGTGTATGATCAGTATTTTATAATTATCATGATAAGGTGGAGAAGGATGGGACTGATCTCATGATCAACCAGGACAGAAACTGGATTAGTAAAGATACTATATCAATCTTACTAACTAATAAAGAAGTTGTTAAGTTAAGAAAGTTGAAATCTTGAAGAGAGTAAACATTGTACCAGTGGGATGCATAAAAGTATGGTCAAACTTGCCTGTAATGAATCATTGAAAGAGCTTGGTGGGAGGAAAAATCTGTGAACCATGTTGAAGTTTCAAAACTAGAAACAAGTTAAAGTATATACAATGGTCTGATAATTAGATTACTCTATAGAATTATTCTAGAGAAAATTAAGAGAGCGTTATGGGATTTTCCTTAATAGAACTAGTTGGTATATATAGTATGTAATATATTTACTATATATAAGTCATCATATGTACAACATTATTTCATAGTAAATAAAAATCACAGAATAAATCTAGCAATTACTGAGTAACTACTAAAAATGGTATAATGATTAATATAAATAATTATGCACTATCCAATGGTTCTTTTGATTTAGCAATATGTGATTTCAAGACTACTTTGAAGCCATTATTGGTATTACTTAATGATTTCATAAAGAACAGTTTAAGTATATCAATGAGTAACTCAGAATTCTATGACAAGTACAAAAGTATTTTACTAATTTTGTAAAATACTAATGAAGTAAACAGCCAGCCGGTAGGATGTCTAACTATATGTACCCTATGTCTGAAGTAATTTATCAGTAAACCTTAGTGGGAGAAGAAATTCATAAACCACTTTGAAGTACTTAAAATCTATAGTACAAAACAGAGAATTACAATGGTTTTATAACTAGATTACTTTTAAAAATTGTTTTAAAAAAAATTAAGAGAATATCATATACCCTCCTTTATTAGGCTAGTTTATATATATCTTGTAATACATTTATTATGTAATTATATCATATGTAAACATTATTTTATAGTAAATAAAGGGTATAGTAAGTTCCTCCAATATCATAAAACTTAGAGAATATCCCAATCAGGCAAACCCCTTTTGAAAGAAAACTGTGAAATGGAGCAAGAACCTTTTGAAGGACTTTAATTTGTATTCACCCTTTCCTTTTTTCCAGTGCCAACTTTAGCAATTTATCATTTTTTAGAATAATCAACAGTAACAAACTGTTGACAATGACCCTGGTTGACTTAGAGACACTATTGCCAAGTTACTAGTAGAGTGAAATATTATTTTCTAAATTTGACTTAAAGTATCTAGTTTAGACTTAGTTTTGTTTAGTTTGAACTAGCTTAGTGGACTCCTTATATTTTTTAAGTAGTATAATCCTTTAATCAATAATGTACAATGATAAGTTAGTCACTTTGTGAAAGTCTGTAAAATATTTAGGTATTTCTCAATATCTTAATAAAAATATATCATTGCAGCATAATTGCGAATTAAAAAAAAAATAATAAAAATAAATTGTTTTTTTATATATTTTTCTCTTTCTATCTATGGGTCTGATAAAATAATACTATATTTATAAAGCTTCTCTATGGCTCTTATAATATCTTGTTGTTTTTTCCAGTTTTGAAAGTCTTTTCATCCTTTATGTCATATTTTTTGTAGATATTTGATAATCTCTTAAGTAATTCTTTTTTTTTTTAACCCATAGTCAAATCAATATGGCTTGTCTATTTTATTGTAAACATATTTGATATTTACATATTTTATGACTTTCACATATTGACTCACCCATCTACAAAGGTTAACCTTCTCTAGATGCAACTTAGGGGATAATATTTTGCTCCTTTTGTGACTTGGATTATCCTTTAGCCATTTAGATCATTGCCTACAGCTCATCACTATAGATATTAATAATTTAATTATATTTATCAAACTATTTATTAAAAATTTATCAATTATTTATTAAAAATTTATTAACTATTCATCAAAACTATTTATTAAAAGTTTATTAATCATTTATTAAAAATTTAGCAACTATTCATTAGCAATAAAATAAAAAAATTAATAAATTTATATACAAATTTTTTTGAATTAAAGTTAATATTTATAAATTATAAATAATATAAAATATAATATATAGTATTTTTTTTTTTTTTTTTTTTTAACTGGCTCATCCTTGTTTTATTTGTGAAAAAGATCCATTGTATATATGTTATTATGCATTTACAATTTTTATGTCTTTCTAAAATACAAATTCAACTATCTAAAGATGGATTTATTCTTTTTACCGATCGGCTTGTTGCCATCCACTGCGGAGCCTAACATGCCAAGGATGGCTAATTAGTGTTGAAATTAGAAGAGAAAGAAAAGGAAAAAATTGTAAAAGGGTTTGTAATTCCTTTAAATGACCAATCTATGTAGCGATTAACCAGATCTACGTATTGGTCTTTGATTAGTAGTTTAGATAATATGACATTTGGTAGTGATTGTACTTGAGTATGGCTTTTAGAATGTTTGTCTTTTTTGATAATGTTGTTTTTCGTTTCCCATTCTATAGTATGTTTACATTGCTTTTTCCATATGGAGTGTAGAAATTCTCTGTATTGATTTATACACTTTTGAAGTATAGGTTGTGATGTTGTATATAAGCCAGTGTAATTGTTGATTACAAGGATGATGTCCTTTCTGATGATACCTTTGATGAGATCTAAGATCACTTGGTCAGATTTGTTAAAGGACATGTTCCTTATTATGTGATAGAGAGGAGGAGTGGTAACAGATGCTTTGCAGTCTTTCATATTAAGTATGAAGATACTTGTTAATTTTCGCCTGTGTGCTTCCCATGTTGTGGTACATAAGAAGGCATAAGAAGTAGTTTCTATTTCGTGACATTTAGTGCACTCTTTGTTTCTGTATATGTGTGGTTTATATCGGTTCAGTTTGATCATGGTGGATAGTTCATCATTCCAAAGGTTGATTACAAATTTTCGAGTGTTGTAGTTGGTTGTAGATGTGTTTCCATGATTAATGTTACTGGGGTTGAGGCAGTTGAAAGTGTTTTGCCAATCTATTATTTTGTTTTTTTCTGTGTTGATCCATGTTTTATTCCTTCTGAGGAGTCTCTATTAAGCTAAATGTTTGATGTGAAATATTGTTTTGCAGAAGTCTTTAATTGGCACGTCTATTATGTTGTGTCTCCATGTAGCATAATATAGGTTATTTTGCGAATTAATAGTGGGGTTGAGTTCTCTTTGACCTGGCATCATGTTAATGTAGTTGATTTTTGCCAGTTTATCAGCGGTTTCATTGCCTGCAATGCCTGTATATGCTTTTACTTTGTGTAGAGAGAGTTAGATTCGATAGTCCTTG